CTTTCGCTAATCATGTCCAGCTTTCGCTAACGCCTCGGCTACTCGAGTGTTGAAAATCACCTTGAAGAATAAATATGCTAGTTTAGAACATTATATAACGCGCGCTACTCAAATTACCTGGCTATTTGTAAGGTCAGGTACGAAAAGGACCATTTTGTACGCCTGGCTCCATCCCAAGACGGAAGCCAAGGTGAATAAAAGTGCGAATACAGAAGCCATCAAGGCAGATTGCGATGCAGACCCCCTCAAGAGGTAGAGCTCACAAATTGGCAAACCGAAAGTGGTGCCGGTGTTTGTGACGGGAATCAATCAGTGGACGTCTGGCACAAAACACAGAAGTGACAAACTTTGGACCTACCTTATCAGGTGGCTGCTTCTTTCACGTGATAAATTAGGGATTCAAAGTGCTTCCAAGTGGCACTCTTCGCCGCTTCCGAAGAAACACTCGTATGAACTCAATCTTATAGTAAAATCATGCGAAACCTCGAAGGAGGATTTGTTAGGTGGGTCATCTACGTCTCATACGTAATGAACTCCATGATGATCAATTTAGCTTTCAGTTACGCCGATGTCAGACTTTACGAATCGAGCTATCCGTTAGCGGTCGCGTTGCGCACGACGAGTCGATCGCTTCGCAAAGACTGGCATCCTTGTCATTGTGAGCAAAGTCCAATAGGTCTAGGACCTTTTGTGAGAGCACAGGATCTAGGGGGGTGGGGTGGAGAGAGCCGCATTCTCTCCACAGTGAAGCGAAATAATTACAGTTTGCTGGATAAGGACCAGGATGCACTCAAATGAATACTAAAGGGCCCTTTTGCTGAATAAGAAACTTCACGATTGCTTTCCATACCAACGGCTTCAGAAGAAAATTTATCCACGGAAACATGGTGCACGTTGCCCTACGAGGTCCTCAACGGAACGTGGGTTATTACGACTTTATCTAAAAAGCTGATCGGAAGGGATATTGGTATTGGAAGGCATAGTAAGAGCTAGTGTCTCTGGGGAGCTTTCCACCAGTTGAAAAGTTATGTGGCAGATTCAGGCGAGAACAACTATGCTATGCCTCCCTGAGCTCAACTATGAAGACAAGTGACATCATATCCTGAACGATGACGGCAGTCTAGGAAGGTCTGCTCCTGCTTATGGGGGATATCCAATCAATGGCGGTATTCTGGGCAACGAAAAGTTGGTGATGTACGCCATGAAGAAAATCACGATCTTTCTGCTCCTCCTCCCTGTGCACATGACGAAGGTATTCATGAACTACTACACAAGACAAGTTATCTTTCTCAGGAAATATTTATTTTCTTCAGATAAGAAGCCCGTACAAAACACTAGACTAGGATAATTGATAAAAATAACATCCTCTTCATTCTTCTTCATTTTTTCTACACCTTCTGTCTCTAAGGCCTCAGCATATTTTTGTAGTATCTCACTATTTTTCGACACGCCTGACACTGTATGTGCCTACTGCCACTTTACAAGGCTATGCTGTGAATCTCCATTGATTTTCTAACTTTGCTTCAACTTTCTAGCTTTGGACATCAAAGTGAATAACTTGGAGAATAAGAATCTCAGTAAATGAAAATCACTAGAAGTACAACTGTTGACAAAAATGCTATCACATCCAGTGAGTGATACTGGATGAAGTTGAGTTTTGTGCCGGCCGGAACGAGGTTGTCGAGCGTCTTGAATTCAGCAACGAATTCTGCCCAAGCCACCAGTCGATGAGCCGGACTCACGGGCTGCTTCTTCACCATCAACGACAATCGCTTGACGTTTCGCGAATAACTGAATTCACGTGGTTTTAGGTTTCTTGTCCTAGTTGGTTGATAGAAGATGGTTATGGACAAACCTTTTATCGCTGACAACTTTCTTGAGAGCTTCCATCACAGTAGTCGCACTTATGTCGTCTTTTCGGAGGTTCACAGCGATTCCAAGCTTTGCTGCCAAGTTTCGCATTCCTTGGCTGATCTCCCCATAGAGCAATGGTTATCAGCGGAACACCGGCGGTGATGACTTCCTGAAGAGCTGTTTCTACACTGATCTTACAGAATCTAATAAGGCGCTATTGCAAGACACGGGAGCAGCCTCCGAACCAACCTATGAGTGAGCAGGAACTTGGGTAAAAATAAAACCGCCCACGCACCCTTGAGTCAGTCTCTCCTTCCCCGTCAAAGGCTTGGTCGAATTTGAACACAGTCCAGATATTCTATGCGGCGTTAGAACCACGTTCCGGGATTAGGCGTGCTCGCCTGTTCCATCCTGGGGTAGTAGACAGGCGGACAAGCGTTGATGTCGCGCCCCTTTTGCGGCTTGAAAGTGCGCGACAAAGGCGCAAGGAGCTCGTCCGACCCGCACGTCCGCAAGCCCCATCCTCCGCTGTCGGTTGTCAGCTGAGGCCCCAGGCCACCTTCTATCTCTTGCTTCATAATTGAACGCTTTTCCACACCTATTTTATCCCGAATCTTGCCTTCAAATGCATCGCCATAACAATGCCCCCGTATCTTGCAGTAGCGCCTTCTATGATTAATTTCTTACTTGTAAGCTGTTATATCCACCATGGGTTATGAATGCGACAGTTTTTGGATGTCTAAGGAGATCCGCCTGCGGTATCCATTTGAATAAATGAACATTTGGCGGAAGTCTATCTGAAATGACACTGTCAGAGTTCACTGTAGGACGGTCCTTCCAGAAAGTTTCTAGTGCTGAGCCCTTTTTTCCTAATGGAAAATTCTTGCAAACAAGGCCGGCCTTACCATTCAGATCGGATCCCTCATATCTGAACACGAAATGTAGGTTCTTGAAACGCGTGAACGCCTCCAAAAAAGCTTTTTTCCACGTTTCTGGCATAAGATGACTCGGAGCGATTGAGCCCAACGAAAACACCACCAGCCCTTCACAGTTCTCCGCAATTCGATGGAATTCCTGAAATGTGGCAAACCCTCGTCACGGTCATCGAGGTTTCTTAAGAAATTGTGATCACTTCAGGATGAAGGAGAATTATATGTTACTCCTAAACTACTACTGTGGAGTGTTCACGGACTAGGTCAGTTTGAAAAAGGTAGCTTCTTTCGACAATGTGCAATCTTTGGTGCTTCCACGCCCTCCTCTTTCACCCGAAATGATGAAGGATTTTGTTTATTTTGTCCATTCACTGACGGAAATCAATCGTTCATGTGTAGGGATGAAGGGAGGGGGGGGGGGGAGAGAGAAGGGCGGTTTTGCCAACGCAAGGGAAAGGCGCAATTGTATGCGGCGAAAGTGTAGGAAAACTTTATGGATGCTTATGGGTGGAGATCAATGGTCAACCGTCACGTTGGACCAATTTCGAAAATTTTACGACCCCCTCCCCCTTCTAGAGGGCCTCGATACGACCCCCCCCCCTCCCTCCGGGTATACATCGAATGTGAAACAGCAAAATTTTCGCACTCAACCCAAAAGCCCAGCCTACAACCTAATCCGCTCTCCGTTCCATAAAAAACATCCCTTCCCTTACTGTAACATTGACGCTACCTCGCGAAATACGACCCCCCCTTTTCCACCCCCAAATACGACCCCCCACCCCCTCGTTGGACTTTGTCCAACGGACGGTTGACCCTGGTGGAAATGCGGAAGGGGTGCACAACGCTGTAAAGAATCTAAATAATCGAGCGAATGTAATCAAATGTGCTCCTTTCAATTTCCATTCGCTACGTCCCGGCCTTTTTAAAGGATACTCAACATACAGGAGGAAGTGGTCGAGTGTCGTTGAGCTGCATTCCAATGCCTCCGATGTTCACAATTTTTGCCAGTGTTGGGCGTGGTAGTTCATACAGCTCGTTGGAGTTCACCATTACCTGAATTCTGATACAGACTGAGTTTTATAATCACATAGTTTAAAGATAACATAGCTGGTGTACCAATGGGCAGTGCTCTGTGATGTCGACGATGTGAGGGAAGTTTGGATCAATTTCTCGAAAAATAGCCGTTTCCTGGTCAGCGTACGTCCTGGTACAAAAAGAATGAATCTACGGTCCTAAGACTGAAGTTTTTTTTGAAGGATCCTCTATGATATCTATTAAGAGGTTGTGCAGTATGCCCATGATTTTTAGGGCTTGAACAAGATTACTACCAAATAAGTATCGTGAATGTGCGTAGTTTGCTTCAGTGGAAATGGCTTAGTGCTTACCTTCTCCAAATGTAAACGGTCAGGAGTTGCCCAATAAGGCTTTTCGTCCTCTCATAAAAATTCATCTCATCAGTGCTCTCCATCGCGATAGCTAAAATTGCAAGGACTGGTTTTTAATTCAGAAGTCTATGGAAAACTATTTCTTCATTGGAAACTTCTGCAGCTTGCCCTTTGTAAAGTTGGTTAACGTTCCCGAAAATTTTCGCTCAGAATCGTGCAAGGTTCCTTTTCGTCAGGCGAAAAAACCTCATTGGACCAACTTTTTCCTCTCATATGAGCGTGGTATGACATGATTCAGAGAGGCAATGTCTGAACTCGCAGGCAAAACCCGTAGCAATATGAGAAACTAATGCACATCGTTTCACTTGCTACTTTATTTGAAAACAAAACCCAAACTTTAGACAGCCTCCATAGGCAGTACCATAGTTAGTGGTCACGAAAAAGATGCAGAATTTGTTTGTTGGTCTATAATAGAAGACGAGAATATTTTGCCACTGCCCACATCGAGTGTTGGAGTCAGTAATGGTACCCTACCTCCTAACAAGTTAGGATTCCAGGATATGTCTCGCTGCTTTCCTAGAGCTCGACTGTTCGTCGAGGTCTCAGCCTCTGTTTCCAGACTATTCGAAAGGAAGAGTTCGCATTTGGCATTCCGGGAAAGGCAGTCGCCAAGTCCTTGGGGTCGAGTAAGGTTATCATAGTGGGGGGAGGTTGACGGATGTCGTTAAAGGGGTTGTGTTCGGACGAGTTTTTTTTTTCGAAGTAAAAATTGGGCAAAATTGATGGATTTGCTGTTCAATTTGGTACCACTTTACCCCCCCCCAAATGCACTATGTCAATAAAGCCATGAGTATTATGGGTGAGGTATAAAGTACAAGATTTTTTTTTGGCCACGGATCCTTGTCAATCCTCAATGCAAATGTATACCTGGCGTGCTATTCGTAGCTGCTGCGGTGGTGATCTGGATCTTTGTTGTGAACAATTTGCTCGGAAATGTCGGGGCGCAAAAAATCTGTGACGGCATAACACACTAAGATAGACAATAATGACGAGGTTCTACAAAGAGAGAAGTTGAATTTTTTGAATTTTGCTCGGATTTCAGCTTATCGTATATATAGAAAGGAGAAGGGACCCATCAAAAGTTTACTGGTATGCTGTTCAAGTTGCAGCTCTTAGAAAGAGGGGCTTTTGGAGTTCCTTTGAGCACTTGTATTTTGACTACACTGCTTCATGTCGCGATTGAGATGTTGTGAAAAAACTTGTAGACTCACGTGGAATGTAGCTCGGGACCATCGGTACTCCCATGTAATATGCAGCAAAATCTATCAAACCAGCACTGAAAAAACAGCGAGCTATTTTGGAGGCTTCTTCGAAGGTATGGAAATTTGATATGGTTTCCTGTTTTCTATCATAAATGAACATTTCAGGCTTTGTAATCACCGCGGAACAAGAATATAAGGAGCCAGATGCATTCATTCATCCGAATTCGGAAAAATATTAAAAAATGCTTCTAGTTGGCTCCTCCTATAAACCTACCACAACTGTAGGCGAACTCTTTCCAGGTGAAACTCCAGTTTGGTCCTTATCAAAGTCCTCTTGAAACGGTCGTTTACCTATTATCTTATCCATAGTGTTAAAGCCCAGAGGAGCGCTCTCAGTACTATGGATAAGATAATAGGGAGTGTCCCCCCAACGTATTGAATTGTATATTGAAAGTGGGGTTTCACCCACTTTCAATATATTGGCCTATCGTCACCTGGAAATCTGCTACTGGTTGCTTAGGGCTCCTCGAGAACACCTGATTGCATTTCACACTCACCGAAATTTTCGTCATAAGCTTATACTATATTCTGATTCTTACAAACCCCCACTTGACAGGTATCCATGAGCCCATGCACCTCCTTAACCCTTTTAAGCCTGAATAAGTTTTTTTGTCGATAAAATTCTTTTTTCGTACAGTGACAGGGCGACTGCAATGGCGGTGGCAGTGGCAAATACAAAGCAAAACCTGGAAGGAAACGGTTGTCTGGAGCGATCTCTAGCTGATAGTAGAAAAATGTTGTCGTGCCGGCATTACAGACCTCTTAATTTTGTTGTGGCAGATGCCATTACCAGGGCCTTTTGCTCCAATTGCTGTCCAGTGCATTCTACGTAGGGTCTGGTTCCCAAAGAGGTTTTTCTTTCGGAAATATGTATCAATTTTGCACGACGCGTTCTCACGATCAGTGAGCTGTGAAGAATCCTTCACAGAGAGAGAAGGTTCGGACACCGAGGCAGGATGCCTTAAAGGCAGCGATTACGATAATTTCAAGAAGGGTTCAGTGTGACGTGGTGGTGCTCAATGGTACGCCAGTGGCGAAAAAAGCAGAAAAATCCGTCAAGAAAACGCAAAACGGGACCCCTTTTTTGGCCGTTGGTTTTCACTCATGAACAGGTAACAGCTCAGAAAGGGACGTATGAACGAGTTCACGCAACGCGTTTGATGGCACCATGCCAATCGAGATGCTCCATTTGCGCCGCTGCTGGCAACGCAGCTCGTCCAAATCAACAAGTAAACTAGTGGGCGGATCGCTTTTGGGGGCGGAGCGCTTTCGAAGTCCTGCTCAGCAACCAGCGCACCTTTCGTCGTGAAAGCGCCACATCTCGCTTCCCTGGCAGCCAAGTAACTGATTCGTGTGGTGCATATGCTTCCCCGATGCGCTCCCTCTTTATCGTAATCGCTGCCTTTAATGGATGTCAAAACATACCTGCTTAGCCAGATCCATGAAGGTATTTTTGCATAGTGAATAAGTCCAATTGGACACGCGTCCGCCATATAAGCAAAAGCGAGATCAAATTTTTGAGACACCAGCCAGTCCAGAAAATCTTTGTTTTCAACCACTTCTTAATAATAATAATGGGTAAAAAGAGCTTTCATTAGAAGGGTAAAGGACAGAACAAAAGGAGTAACAGAAATATTATGTAATACGTCTGAATTGTTTTCAAATATGTAATCAAAATATCGAAGGCGCTTCGAAAGCGGAAGAGTAATTGAGAAGCATGGCGCGAGAAGAATAACGTTACTACCAAATTTTGCCATGGTCCCGAGTCGAGCCATATGCAAACAAAGGAAGGGAGCCAGCTAGCTTTCATCAATCTACAAAAGCAAGTATCGAAAAAATGCCGGGAGAGCTCCTTAAAGCTGGGAAGCCCCGTGGGTGAATCTCCACGTGTCTGTGTACGTATGAAACCTTCGTGTCTACAAGCAGTTTCCCAACGCCATTGGGAGAGAAAGCAGAGTAAGAGCTAAATAGTACAGGGCAATAAAGGAATCAAGTTCTTAATTACGCACGGGATCCCTAGAACTAGCGCAAACTACATAGACCTTCCTCAGTTCTGTGTGGATCGCAAGCCGATAGAGGTGAAGCCACGACTTCCGCCGATCGAAAGAATCCCAACACAGCGTTCTAAGCTGTCACTGCTTACCCCTTAGGCTACGCACCGCCAAACCGGTAGGCCTGTTCACATCCCGTCTGAAACTATAAAACTGAATAATTTCAATGTTTTGAAAAGTATCTAAAAAAAAGAGAAAATCGCTGACGCAGAAATCGGCTAGGAAAAGCAATTGGCCAGCCGCCTTCATTGCAGAAAACCCATAGATCTCTAAACTCGCCGGCACACGCGGAGCCTAACATTCAAGCTTTTCCCTGTGATTCCTTGAAGGATGGGAGAGATCTCATTTTGAAGTTTGCCAATGGTTCTTTTTCGTTCTTTTCTTTTCTGGAGTTGCAATTTGCATTGCTGCTGACGAGCTCTAGCGCCATAGCATCCCATCACGATTCTGAACCTCTACCTTTAAGTCTCAATTTTTGGCATTTTTCGCTCGACAAATATCACATCACAACTTTAGCGGTTTAAAAGGAATGAAAATATGAAAAAGGGGATTTCTGGCCAAAAGGAAAATGTCCTCACTGCGACACGTCCCAACAAGGAGGGTTGTCATTATATTCATAGTTGCTCGCATCCTGTAGTCCCATATGGGGAGATCCTAAATGGGATCTTACAGTTAGCTGTTTATTAAAATTCTATATTCTCACCCTTTTGTGCGATATATGGTATAAATAACCATTAGAGTTCGAATTAGGTGATTACCATGAAAATGATTTCCGTTTGCTCCTTGAGAAAATCCTCTCTTCTCAGTCCAAACGATGCATTCACATGATGAACTGAAAACAGTAGAAGATAGAAACTATAGCTGTGAAAAAAGCGAAGTAAGTATGCATTCATTTTGAAGGTACTCGCAACGGCTGCTTCAGAGCTGGATTCACTTCTACAGTAAAATGTTCAAAGAAAGCGTAGAGAGAGAAGAAGGAGCAAGCTGCGTGCTAGCTGATATTACTGGTTCATGAAGTCTTGGCAAGAGCTCAAAATGATCCTGGGTATGCACTCATACATAATTTTCTCTGATTTCTTAAAAAGAGAAAAAGTTTCATCTTCTCCGTTATATTGTGTTGCTCGCAAAGTGGGTCTCGCCTTCAACTATAAGACCATCAAATGCCGAACGCATTTGCTTCAAGTGTTAACATACAACGAATCCTGCTAACATTTCCAGAGTTTGCCGTTTTCAAGCTAGCGATATCAAGACACTCAAAAAAGCTTAATTATTGTAATATTATTGCACCCTGCTCAAATAATACTGAACCTCGTTTCAAAGCCAGTCCTCCCCAGCTTGATCATCAAAGGTAGGGTTAACGGAGAAAAGGCGACTGATAATTACGGTTTTGTTCTACTTGTCGTGCTTTTATAATGTTGCACAGAAGTTGCAGGGTTAATGATTATACTTTTTTGTGTTGTGTTCACACGACTATAGCTCGTGTAATAAATAATAATATAATAAAATATC